AAGTAAAGCTCAATTAGTGTGAAAAATGGACATAAATTTTGTTTGGGTACACCATTGCACGACCGTGCAATTAGCAGTTGAAATAGCGCAGTGCCAAACAGCAAAAAATGGCCTGGTCATGAAGGGGGGGGGGGGGGGGTAAATCCTCTGGAGGGCAAGTGGTTAATATCACTAACAGCAACTGCCTGATTCTGATAACTGTTTGTACACAATTATTTCAAAAATTTCCAATTGTATAGCACAGCAGGACAGTGAATCGACAGCATCACAACATCCTCTGTTTTACTGTGAATTCCTAAACAGGGTCAATTTGTTTATTTTGGGGTTTATTTGCAGACTAGATGCTAAGTGTGTTGTGCATTGCTCCTCCATGTGCACCTTACTGCAAAAGGCTAGTTATAGGTTGTGAGGGTTGACGCTTCTTTTTGGGAAGTACCCAATCTGTGAATTTCTGAGGGATCTCACTGGCTCAATTCCAGAAAGTATCAAGAGAAGAGCTGGACCGGATCACATGTAGCATGTCTCCATGTCCACATCTCCGGCAGGTCTTCGATAATGTGGGATATATAAAGTGCAGGACAGAGGTATGATTCCAATGGGTGACTATACTGTACCCCAGTTCCTGTTATTTGTTACATATGAAAAATCTAAAGAACATAGTGAGAATTTTTGTACAAGCTTTTGACGACCGAGTAATCCCCAAATCTTCCTCCCAGCGGTCTAAGAGGTGTGGTGAAGTTTTAGAAGCCTTCATAACGAGTCACTTATAAGTCATAGAGTGAAAGTCACTGATCGGGCCCTCAGCCTGACACTTATGTTCAAATGGCATCAGTTTGTGAGAAAACGTTTCGGGCTGGGCAAAGAATTTAAAAGGTGTGTAAGATGCAGTATCTGTACAGTGCCCAGTGAGAAGAACACGTGGATGTTGCAAGTTGAGTAATGGACAGCCAGATGGAACCACATAAAAAATAATACCTCACGCACCATTTTTTTTTACCCTGATTGAACTATCTGTCCTGTGTACCTGGAGAGAAGTCAAAATGGTCTAGGAAGGGGAGCAGGGAGCAAAAGCAATGGAGCTATCCTGCACAAGTCAAAAGCTATATGGCACGCTTTCCAGGTTGCTTCTATAGTAGGATGATTATGAAGTTCCAACATAGGCAATTTGGGGGACCAAAGGAGTGCTTAAAAAAAGGTGTAGCTGAGGCTTCCTGTTCGAACAACACCCACGGTTTTAAGAATTGATGTCCGGATCAATCTAACACCCTTGTTAAATGGGTGGCATGAAAGCACAGAAGTATGTCAGGCAGCACCCCCCCCCCCCCCCCCCCCCCCCCCCCCCCCAGTTTCCTTCATCCATTGGAGAATGGAATATTTCTGACATGCTGGTTTGTGCACGTTATGTACATCATTACTACTACAGAGGCTAAAATGCAAAGAGAAAATGAAGCCACCCAGCAGTGAAAATAAAGTGCACCGCCAGACACTGAAGGGGTACTTCTGCTTCTATACTAAACTAAGTTTATTTCCATCTTATCACAGCAGGGAGGTATGCTAGCCCCACGATGACCAAAATAATTCCAGCAGCCATAAAAAAAACTTTCTGGTAGAAATACTCAAGCCAGACTAGCTGAAGGGAAGGAAATAAAGTATGTCTTCTAGAAAAGGACAAGGGGAGCTCTTTAGAAGCAGCTGAACACACTGGGGGAAATTAATAAAAAGTGTCCAAAAGAAATTTTGTTTCAAATGGACCTCAGCCAATCAACTTTAACATTTTTATTATCTAAGCTGTGTGGAAAAATTAAAGACAGAAACTCATTGGTTGCTATTGGCAACAGTTGAGATAGAACTTGTTTGTGGAATTTTTATTAATTTCTCCCACCAAGCAGAAATGACAAGGGAAAGATACAGAGCAAATGGATTGACACCATTTTCATGAAATGTGAGTTCAGTGAGTAGACTGATACCTAGAAGAAACTAATCAATATTATGACATGCTGGATATACACTGCTCACAAAATTCAAGGAAAACTTTGAAAACACATCAGATCTCAATGGGGAAAAATATCATGCTGGATATCTATACTGACATGGACTGGGTAATGTGTTAGGAACGTAAGGATGCCCCATCGTTTGATTTTCAGGGTGTCTTTGAATTAAGTCCTCTGTAGGTTGATAATTTTCATTTCCATCAAAGTGCTAGGCTAGTCCATTTTGCTGAAATTTAATTGCTGCAAATCAAAATGGTACTAAGTAGATTGTATGGCTCCCGGGAGCTTGCATGCATGTCTGACAACGTCGGGGCATGCTCCTAATGAGACGACAGATGGTGTCCTGGGGTATTTCCTCCCAGATCTGGACCAGGGCATCACTGAGCTCCTGGACAGTCTGAGGTGCAACCTGGTGGTGTGAGATGGACCAAAACATGATATCCCAGAGGTTTTCTACTGGACTTAGGTTAGAGGAGCGTGGGGGCCATTCAAAGGTATCAATTCCTTCATCCTCCTGGAACTGCCTGCATACTCCCGCCACATGAGGCCAGGCATTGTCGTGCACCGGGAGGAACACAGTACCCACTTCACCAGCGTTGAGTTTCACCCCGATAGCTAATGGCAGTCAGGGTGCCATTGTCTAGCCTGTAGAGGTCTGTGCGTCCCTCCATGGATATGTCTTCCCAGACCATCACTGACCCACCACCAAAACGGTTATGCTGAACGATGTTACAGGCAGCATAACATTCTTTACGGCTTCTCCAGACCCTTTCACGTCTGTCACATGTGCTCAGGGTGAACCTGCTCTCATCTGTGAAAAGCACAGGGCGCCAGTGCCGGACCTGCCAATTATGGTGTGCAATGGCAAATGCCAATCGAGCTCTATGGTGCCAGGCAGTGAGCACAGGACCCACTAGAGTACGTCAGGTCCTCAGGCCACTCTCATGAAGTCCGTTTCTGATTATTTGGTCAGAGACATTCACACCAGTGGCCTGCTGGAGGTCATTTTGTAGGGCTCTGGCAGTGCTCATCCTATTCCTCATTGCACAAAGGAGCAGATACCGGTCCTGCTGATGGGTTAAGGATCTTCTATAGCCCTGTCCAGCTCTCCTAGGGTAACTGCCTGTCTCCTGGAATCTCCTCCATGCTCTTGAGACTGTCCTGGGAGACACAGCAAACCTTCTGGCAATGGAACATTTTGATGTGACATCCTGGAGGAGTTGGACTGTCTGTGCATCCTCTGTAGGTGTCCAGGTATCGCCTCATGCTACCAGTAGTGACACTGACCCTAGCCAAATGTAAAACTAGTAAAAAACAGTCAGAAAAGATGAGTAGGGAAAAAAAATGTCAGTGGCCTCCACCTGTAAAATCATTGCGGTTTTTTTTTTTTTTGGGGGGGGGGGGGGGGGGGTCATCTCATTGTTGCCTATCTAGTGCACCTGTTGAATTAATTAACACCAAAAGCAGCTGAAACTGATTAACAATCTCCTCTGCTACTTAACTGACCAGATCAATATCCCAGAAGTTTAATTGACTTGATGCTATACTCGGATAAAAAAGTGTTACCTTTAATTTTTTTGAGTAGTGTATTTGCTATTCAGTAAAGTTAGGATCATTAAAATGGCGTTAGAAAAACAGAAACCCATAATATTCTTTGGCTGTGGCTACAGAATCATGAAAACAAAACCTGGAAGCAGACTGGCCGAAGATGTCATTGGCCGCTGAGGAGCTCCAGGACTTAAAGAGAAGCTTCAGCCTCCAGAAAAAATAAAAGTTAGGAGCTACAAATACTGTAGCTGCTGACTTTTAATAAAAAGACACTTACCTGTCCAGGGATCCAACGGTGTCCTCACCCAGGCCAGTTCTTTTTTTGGTGTTCAGGTCCCTGACGCTGGTATGTTTAGCCTGGTTAGCTAGCCACGACTCCTTTTGGCTTCACAGTTAACTTCCCACTGTGCATGCGTGAGCTGTGCTGTGCTTTGTGAATGGTTCTGAAGCCTCAAGACCTGTGATGTATCCTAAGAGGTTGAGGACATGGGGGGGTAACTGCCAAATCTAAGTCTGGCTCCACCCTCAGCCCCCCGAAAAAAAAAAAAAAAAAACTTCAATGTTATAGGAGGGGGAGTGTATCCTTGAAAGTGGAACTTCCTGTTCCACTTTAAGGACTAAGGTTGGGAAACACGGTTATAAACGGTTGTTAGATTTGCTGAGTGCCAATTCACACGTGTGTTCCAGATTTCAAGGTCCAGTTTCAGTGTGGAATCTACTTGTTCAGTGGTTCAGGACCGGTTTTTGTGACAACTGTGGATTGTACTGCAATCCTTTTCACAACTGATGGCATATGCGGTGTAGAAGAAGTTCACATAGAAGTCAACAGCCTGTAACCTGCACTTGAACTGGACCGCACTGCTCAGAAATCAGAAAGGACTCTCAATCCGCACTGCCAGTGCACCGGACATACACTATATTGCCAAAAGTATTGGGACACCCCTTCAAATCATTGGATTCAGGTGTACCAATCACCTCCATGGCCACAAGTGTATAAAATCAAGCAGCTAGACATGCAGACTGCTTCTACAAACATTTGTGAAAGAATGGGTCGCTCTCAGGAGCTCGGTGAATTCAAGCGTGGTACCGTGATAGGTTGCCACCTGTGCAATTTCCTTGCTACTAAATATTCCACATTCAACTGTTAGTGATATTATAACAAAGTGGAAGTAACTGGGAACAGCAGCAACTCTGCCACGGAGGCCACATAAAATGACAGATTGAGGTCAGCACTTGCTGAAGCGCAAAAGTGCACAGAATTCTGCAACTGTCTGCAGAGTCAATAGCTAAAGACCTCCAAATTTCATGTGGCCTTTCAAGCATGAAGGTCTGGGCTGGAACTGATCATTATCACCAAATTATGAGTAAAAAATTGAAAACCACATTAAATCCTAATGGATAGGATTAGAAGCCATATAACACGAAGAATAAAGTTTATGTACCAAGGGAATGCCCACAACTTCGGCATGGCTCACTCAGGCTGGCTGCAGGCTGCTGGAGGTCCATTCTTGGTGCTGTCTGTGGGTTTGGGTTTTTCCATCCATTGCACTTACACACGTCATTTGCCTAGAAAGAAAAGAAGAGTTATGTATGGAATACTGAAAATTAAAGCAGAACTTTACTCTCTCAATCAAAATTGGGGCTTTCTCTGCTGAGCACACCCTCATGCATGCCTGAGCTAAGGGCAGATGGATTCCTGCAAGTAAATGATATATGAATCATCTGCCCTTACTCAAAATTGCTACCAGAAATGCTGGGGGTGGGTGGGGGGGCTTTTCAAAGTGATTTTTCAGCAAAATAAAGCATGGGGACATGGATGGGGGGAGTTTGCTTTAATATTAAAAATGAATTAACCCCTTGACGCTGACGTCACACAAATATGCGGCCTCACAGAACTGAGCTTTTTTGTGGGGCTGCATATTTGCGTATTTGTCTTTGTTCTGGGGGCGCGCTCCCAGCACAAAGATCGCGGTGTCACTGAGAGCCCCGGGTACCGTTCTGACAATCGGGACTCCCAATTCCGGGTCACATGATCGTTGTTATAGCCTCTGATTGGCTATCACAGTGATCAGTCACTGTACAGCCCGGCCCCCTTGCTTTTTTTCTCTCTCTATGAATGGAGAAGAGAGATACAAGGTTTGATCTAGTTCAGTGCCAGAGATAGTGTTTGGGTCAAAGGCCAGGATCTTAAAAAAAAAAAAAAAAAAATTGGTGTCAGTGTGTTTTAGGTAAAAAAAAAAAAAAAAAAAAAAAAAAAAAAAAAAAAGACAAAAACAAAATGCGCACTATTGTTTCTGGGCTGTACTACGGGTACAAACAACAAATAATATACACATATACAGGTGAAACTCGAAAAATTAGAATATCGTGCAAAAGTTCATTTATTTCAGTAATGCAACTTAAAAGGTGAAACTAATATATGAGATAGACTCATTACATGCAAAGCAAGATAGTTCAAGCCGTGATTTGTCATAATTGTGAGGATTATGGCTTACAGCTCATGAAAACCCCAAATCCACAATCTCAGAAAATTAGAATATTGTGAAAAGGTGCAATATTCTAGGCTCAAAGTGTCCCACTCTAATCAGCTAATTAAGCCATAACACCTGCAAAGGGTTCCTGAGCCTTTAAATGGTCTCTCAGTCTGGTTCAATAGGAATCACAATCATGGGAAAGACTGCTGACCTGACAGTTGTGCAGAAAACCATCATTGTCACCCTCCATAAGGGAGGGAAAGCCTTAAAAGGTAATTGCAAAAGAAGTTGGATGTTCCCAAAGTGCTGTATCAAAGCACATTAATAGTAAGTTATGTGGAAGGGAAAAGTGTGGAAGAAAAAGGTGCACAAGCAGCAGGGATGACCGCAGCCTGGAGAGGATTGTCAGGAAAAGGCCATTCAAAAGTGTTGGGGACTTTCACAAGGAGTGGACTGAGGCTGGAGTCAGTGCATCAAGAGCCACCACACACAGACAGATCCTGGACATGGGCTTCAAATGTCGTATTCCTCTTGTCAAGCCGCTCCTGAACAAACAAAGTCAGAAGCATCTTACCTGGGCTAAAGAAAAACAGACCTGGTCTGTTGCTCAGTGGTCCAAAGTTCTCTTTTCTGATGAGAGCAACTTTTGCATCTCATTTGGAAACCAAGGACCCAGAGTATGGAGGAAGAATGGAGAGGCACACACTGCAAGATGCTTGAAGTCCAATGTGAAGTTTCCACAGTCTGTGTTGATTTGGGGAGCCATGTCATCTGCTGGTGTTGGTCCACTGTGCTTCATTAAGTCCAGGGTCAATGCAGCCGTCTACCAGGAGATTTTGGAGCACTTCATGCTTCCTTCCGCAGACGAGCTTTATGGGGATGCTGACTTCATTTTCCAGCAGGACTTGGCACCTGCCCACACTGTCAAAAGCACCAAAACCTGGTTCAATGACCGTGGGATTACTGTGCTTGATTGGCCAGCAAACTTGCCTGACCTGAACCCCATAGAGAATCTATGGGGCATTGCCAAGAGAAAGATGAGAGACATGAGACCGAACAATGCAGAAGAGCTGAAGGCCGCTATTGAAGCATCCTGGTCTTCCATAACACCTCAGCAGTGCCACAGGCTAATAGCTTCCATGCCACGCCGCATTGAGGCAGTAATTGCTGCAAAAGGGGCCCAAACCAAGTACTGAGTACACATGCATGCTTATACTTTTCAGAAGTCCGATATTGTTCTATGTACAATCCTTGTTTTATTGATTGCATGTAATATTCTAGTTTTCTGAGATTGTGGATTTGGGGTTTTCATGAGCCGTAAGCCATAATCATCACAATTATGACAAATCACGGCTTGAACTATCTTGCTTTGCATGTAATGAGTCTATCTCATATATTAGTTTCACCTTTTAAGTTGCATTACTGAAATAAATGCACTTTTGCATGATATTCTAATTTTTCGAGTTTCACCTGTATGGTATTGCTGGAGAATTTATTTTGGGTTGTTCTTTGGTGGTAGGTTATGGTAGTAACAAGAAACACAGCTAAATAAGAAAAAATGATTTTTTTTTTTTTTTTACTATTTTGGGCCAGATTTCTTTTGATAAAAAAAAATCAAGAGCTATCCTTTACCATTTACCGCCAAATGAAAGCCTAATTTCTCCTGAAAAAATCAAGGTATAATTCACCTGGATGTACAAAGTAGTTGTGACGATATGTACGGTTTTACTAACACATGTCAATGTTGCAGAATTGTGTTTAGGCGTTTAGATTTGTTTTACCGTTAGGCGTGAAGGGGTTAAACAGCGTTTTCTGTTCGTGGTGTTCATATGCAGAGTAATTCTGCTTTAATATTATAAACCATGTACATACCATAGGTTTACTTTATATCCAACAGTCACAGGTACAATGAATCCCTACTAAAACCATTCTATTCAGACATTTCACCAAACTATAACACAGAAGGTACCATACAGATTTTAATGCTTGGTAGCCATGCTGATCCAATGTCTGGAGCACTGAACCAGAACAGGCATAGAGATGAGGAAATCTGACACTTCCTTTCATTTGCTGCATTTTTGTTCCAAGCTTGCCACTCAGAATTCCTGAAGACACAGTTAACCAACTAGTTTGTTCATACTGTAGATGAGAGAGCAGTGCCGGCCTTTATATCCTTCATGCTTGTATTTGTATTCATTGTTAACCACTTGAAGACCGTACTACATATATTTATGTTGCGGCTTTCAAGTGGTTATACTGGAATGATGCCTGCAACTACAGCTTGGGGACACTACTTTGGATGGCTGTGCACAGCACAGCCATCCAAAGCAGTGTGCTTACAATGAAGCACACTGGCACAGCCCCCTAGTAAAACACTTCCAGCACAGTTAACCCTTTGATCGCCCCACATGTTAACCCCCTTCCTGCCCAGTGCCATTAGTACAGTGACAGTGCATTTTCTTTCTTTTAGCACTAATCACTGTATTGGTGTCACTGGGAATGTCAATGACACCAAGTCAGTTCCCCACCCCCCGTCAGAATCCTCGCCGCAGTCCTTCTATAAGTCGCTGATTGCGCCATTACTAGTAAAAAAAAAAAAAAAAAAAAAAATTCCAGTATCTATACAGCCATTTGTAAACGCTATAACTTTCATGTAAACTAATTAATTTACACGTATTGGGATTTTTTTTTGTAGCAAAGACATGTCGCAGAAGACATTTTGGCCTAAATTTATGCTGAAAATTTGATTTTTACATTTTTTTTACTGGACATGTTTAACCATTTGGCAACCGCGCTATAGCCGAATGACAGCTACAGTGAGGTTGTCCAGTTCTGGGAGGGTGTCATATGACATAAATACAGTTGCCGGTTATCAGGCTGCACTTTCCTCACGCTGTCACAGAGTGAGGAAAGTACTACCGATAACCGACAATTGGCAGAGAACAGATCAGTGCCCTGATGAACAGTGCCCAGCATTGCCGCCCTTCAGTGAAGGAGAAAAATTACCCATTTGCAAAATTCTATAATAGAAACAAAGAAAATGTTTGCTTTTCTCTTTTTTTTTGTTTATAGTGCAAAAAATAAAAACACCCAGCGGCAGTGAAATACCACCAAAAGAAAGCTCCATTTGTGTGAAAAAATCTGTCTCAAAAAAAATGCTAAAAATGTCATATGGGTACAGTGTTGCATGATGGTGCAATGGTCATTCAAAGTGTGACAATGCTGAAAGCTGAAAATTGGCCTGGGCAGGAAGGGGGTATAAGTGCTCAGTAGGTAAGTGGTTAATATAAAAAAGTCCAAAATATTGTTTATTTTTCTTAAAATTCTCGACTTTTTTTTAATAGCGAAAAATATAAAAAATCGTACAAGCGATTAAATACCACCAAAAGTTTTGGGTGCAATTTGTGGGGAAAAAAAAAGACGTACATTTCTTTTGGGTGCAGCATTGCATGACCGTGCAATTGTCAGTTAAAGTAATACAGCACAGTAATGCAAAAATGGCCTGGTCAGGAAGGGGGGGGGGGGGGGGTTAATTTTTTTACCCCCTCTTTTTCTTCAACCTAAATAAGGACGCGAAAAATAAACCCTCTGGAGGGCAAGTGGTTAATGCATCATATGCCATGCTCTGTGTGTGTGAATGAATAATGTCCATTTACAGAAGCATGGACTGGGAGTGAGCCTGCTTGAGTGCCCCCATAGCAAGGCTTGCTATTGGGGGCAATCGGCAGGGGGGGAGGAGCCAAAACTGCTGGCGGGGGGCCCAAAAAGAAGAGCAGGCAAGTATAACGTTTGTTTTTTTTATATTACAACCTTTAGGGGCCCGTTCACACCATAGAAATGCAGTCCGGATGCGTTCCTGTATGTGCGTTTTTGACGAGTTCTGGTTAATTTTTTTCCCCTCTTTTTCTTCAACCTAAATAAGGACGCGTTTTAGGAGCCCATAAATTCATTAAAGGCCGGTGCATTTTGTATGCGTTTAGGGGCCAGTTCACATCACATGCAGTCGTTTTTTTTTCTGTATCAAAAAATTATTAATTAACTCTCTATATATGTTTGCACTTTGTATGTTGATTTGATGTAGAGGTCGCACTGATAGCAGGTCACATGGTTTCCAATGGCATAGTTCCCACCAGTGCAGTCAGTTCCAGAAAAAAAAAAAAAAGAAAAACTAGAACATGCTGCATTTTTTTCTGCACTGAACTGTACAGGAATCCAGTAAAACGCATCTTGAAGAAGAGGAGGGGGGGGGAAAATGAACCGAAATGCATCAAATACATGCATACAGAAACGCATCTGGACTGCCTTTCTATGGAGGAACTTGAGTTCCCCACACTGGGGGGGTCCCTAAACATAAAAGATAAAGAACAATGTTGCTGATTTTTTCCATAGGGGGAGGGGAGAGTTGCCATGGGCACCCTTCAGTCTTGGTTCAGGTAACAAACTACTAAGAGCTCCCAACAAACCAACCTTGGCTGTCTGTTGGTGCCTTGTGGCTCCTGTGTACATAGCAGTCCGCTCTGCCTGCAGAAATCAGTGCAGCCTCGGGCGGAAGTTATACTGCCAGTGTGGGAGCACAGCTGAGTGCAGGGGACGGGGTGACTGGGAAGGAAGCCTTGTACAGTGGCAGACATTGCCATTGAATGCAGTGCACGGTGTGTGGAAGCCGAGCTCTTTCCTAGCAGCAGGCAGTCCAGCTATGTGAATACAGGCAGGAGCCCGGACACCATCAGGAGGAAGTGTGGAGGAGGGGCCGAGCCCTCTATTTACCTTACATGCCGAGAACACGCCGAGCTTCTCCAGCTTCTTGGCCCGGGGAAGGGCCCGCACCTGAGCTTTCCTCTGGCTGGCTCTCTGCTGCTGGCTCAGCCCGGGCCTAGCCGGGTCGCTGCTGCCCGAACTGCTCCCTGCCGCCGTGGAAGTAGCGCTCTGTCCGCCGGCTGGAGACTGCAGGCTGCTCCGGGACTGTGAGGCCTGCACCAGCTCAGCCATAGCAACGATGCACACCGCGCCTTCTACCAATAAAGCTGCCCTGTTCAATGGAGCGCAGGACGCTGACACCGCGCATGTGTTGGGAGAAGGGATGCTGGGAAATGTAGTCTGAGGGAGAGGAGCCCCTCGGGCAGTAAATGAGTTCAGTGACGGTGTGTGTATTGGAAATACGAGCTCGGCTTCAACTAGTGCATATGTTAGGTCACAAAGACTGACAAACATCACATTCCTGTTCAGTTTATCCACTTACACTGAAGAGGCATTTTTCCGTTTACCACCTTTATGACCAGGACAGGTTTTTGCTATTCAGCACTGCACTACTTTAATTGGTAATTGCTCAGTCATGCAACACTGTACACAAATGAAATTTATATCATTTTTTTCACACAAATAGAGCTTTTGTTGGTGGTCTTTTTTTATTTCTTAACCACTTCCAGTCCGGACACTTTTACCCCCTTCCTGTCCAGGCCAATTTTCAGCTTTCAGTGCTATCACAATTTGAATGACAATTGCGCGGTCATGCAACACTGTACCCATATGATTTTTTACCATTTTTTTGAGACAGATAAAGCTTTATTTGGTGGTATTTATTCACCACTGGGATTTTTATTTTTTTTTGCTATGTAAATGAAAAAGTCCAAACATTTTGAAAAAAAGTGTTTTTTCTTATAGCATTTTGCAAATAAATTGTATTTCATCATAAATATTGGCCAAAATTTATTCCGTTATATTTTTAGTAAAAAAATAACCCAAATTAGTTTATAACCAAAAATTATAATTTTTAAAAACATTTTATTTTACTTTTTTTTTATTTTTTATTTATTATTTATTTTTACATACTGTCACCCTAGCAGTACAGTGTCACCATGGTGACACTGTACTACTTGGGGGGGATGAAGATTTTTTTTTTTTTACACTGATTGCTTTTACACCCATAAAGGATGTAACAGCAATCATTTCTCCTTCTCTCTAGCTGTATTCTTGCAGCCATTGAGAACTACTGAGTGAGCTGTGATTGGTCACAGTTTGTCACATGGTACAAGGCTGTTGTGAATAGCCTTGTACCATGTGACCTCTGTGATCAATCACACGTAGTAAGTGATGATGTCACAAGTGGGCAATCAGCGATCACATGATTAGGACCTCGTACAGAGGTCCCGTCCGACAATCAGTGTTCCACTGTGTCCGGAGGACACAGCGGGCACCGGATCGCGGTGCCACCCGACCCTGCACTGCCACCGTCCGGCCGTTTATATACAATGGCCGGACAGGAGGTGGTTAATAAATGGAAAAAGAAAAAATTCTGAAAAAAAAAAACAGTTTTTTTAGTTTCGGTTAAAAAAATATATAATCTTCCTTTATGAGGCCACGGTGTATTCTGCTACATTGCTTTGCTGAAAATAACCCAAATCACTGTTTATTATTTAGTCTGTAGGAAAGTTAACGGTAGGGATTCCCTGAAATGTCAGCAGTAGTGTTGTTGGCATTTTGCCAATAGGAAAAGGTGCCGATACTGGCCCGCCAAAAATGTCTGATTTTACCCACAATTTTGCACCAATTTTACCTGCAATTGTTACTGCGTTCTTACCGTGTTTATGGTGCTTTTTTCATAGGTCATGTGACTCCAAAAAACACGTCAAAAAGCAACACGTGTACGTTTTTTATGGGTTTTCAATGCATTTCAGGCCTGGTTCGCACCAATGCAGTTTGCGTTTTGCAGTGCATTTTGAGTTTTTGCATGCACATTTTTGATGTGTTTTACGTTTTTTTTAATGTTTTTTTTTTTTTTGGGCCCAACTTGTTGGGCAGATCAAAAACGCAACACGTATTCATTTTTTATGCATTTGTATGTGTTTTCAATGCATTTCAGGCCTGCTTCACATCAAGCAGTTTGCACTTTGTCCATTTTTCAGTGCCTTTTGTGTTTTTGCACGCACAATTTTTGATGCGTTTTTTTGAATGTTTTTTTTTTGTGGCCAACTTGTTGCAGGGCAGATTCAAAACGCATCAGAAACACAACACATGCCTTTTTGGATACGTTTTTGCAGCATTTTCAATGCATTTCAATTGGGAGGTGCGTTTTTTTTTTTTTTTAACTTGCCAAATATGCACCAAAAATGTGGCAAGCATTATTTTTAACACTGCAAGGGAAGCACAAAGGACCAGTGTGAAGACATACATTGAATTTAAAGGATGCATTTTTCTTGACCTTCTCTTGTGCCTTTTTTAATGCAGTGTGAAAGCAGCCTATTAGCCAAAGGGCGCTGAAAATAAATTCATATTCATTTAAATTCTTGATATTAATTCAAAAGTCAAATGTAGTGCAATTATATATAAAAAAATATATTTAAAAAAAAAACTGTCCGTTTCGATTTTCAGCCAAATGCATCCTGAATTTTTGGTTTTGGTCCAAGAATTTTCATTTTGGTGCACCACTAGTGAAAATCGTTAATACTGATGTACTGACAGCCTATCTCATTTCGTGAGGCCCTAAAACACCAGGACAGTACAAATATCCCCCAAATGCTCCTAGTAGACAGTCTAAGGTGAGTTTTTGGAAGTTGTACTTTTTTGGCACAATGTTTTGGGAAAATGAAGAAATTAAATAAAAACATTTTTTTTACATCCCGTCACCGGTGCAGTGCAGCATCATCACATGACTGGTGTCGCAGTGATCAGGGATACTGCCTGGTAACAGTATAAAAAAATGAAATAATTTATTAAAATTTTTTAAACTTTGTTTTACTATTTTTGACATACTGTCATCAGAGTAGTTCAGTGTCACTATAGGGACACTGTACTATGGGGGGTGATCAGGTTTTTTTACACTATTATTGCTTATAACAGCAATGATTACTGTTATAAGCAATAGTTTTAACTGTCATGAATGGCTTCCATTTATGACAGCTTGCTTACTATTGTGATGCTGTGGTTGGCTACAGCTAACACATTGTACAGGGTGCCTTGCACCATGTGATAGCTGTGGACCAATCACACCATCGCAATAGTAAGCAAGCTGTCATGAATGGAAGGCATTCATGACAGTTTTGGTTACACTGTAATCGTGATATACTTACCTGCTTTTTGCAACAATATTGCACAGAATGGCCACTTACTTCCTCTTCTGGAGTCCTCCGCCAATGCTTCTCCACTCCTGAGCTGGGCTGTGTGCATTCACAGACAAACACAGCACATCTCAGCCACACCCCCTGTTTTGACTGACAGCAGCAAGAGCAACGGCAGTGCAGATGGGACAGCACTGGATTATAAAAGTACCTGGGTAAGTGTTTAGTGAGGGGGGTGGTCAGAACAAGTAGTGGGATGTCTCCTATCTTAATGCAGGGAATGCATTAAAGAAAAAAAAAATGTTTTAACTTTAGAACCACTTCAGTTATGGATAATTAGGGGTAAGAAGGGGTTAACAAGGGACTAAACTAGAACCATTAAAACCATATATGATGCAGTCTGTTAGAAAAACAAAGTTAATGCTACTGAGTCCCTGATAATATGTTGATCTTGCTATTAGATTTGCTACTTTCCACTTTTTTAATCACAGTGAAACCACACAGCAGCGTTTGTCACCCTGTCTTAGATGGTTTAAAAAGACTAAGTGAGTGAGAAACAAATTAAAGTGGACCCTTACTGAAGAGTCTGTGCCCAAATCATGCAAGAGGGTGGAATGGGCTAGTCACCAGTATTGCTTGTAGGCTCCCTGCAGCTGATCTTCTCACAGGATGATTTATCATACCTTCGTATGCAGTGTGTCTGTATGTGGAGGGAGGTATCTTGAGTAGAACTTCAATTCCTCATTTCAAATCTACCTCATGACGAGATCTGATTGTTCTTGGAGTAATGATCAAAAAACAGCAGGAGAGGTAAAAGAAGCACAGATCTGCAGAATCAAAGAAGCAGAAGTAGGGTGATCTTTGCACTGCAGGGCCTAAAATGTGGGGAAAGCAGTAGGGGAAGAGAGGTGCAACAAGAGGGAGGGAGGAGGGGTAGAGGTGAGCTGTGGCATTAGAAGGGTGCACAGATGTGGAATGGTAGAAGAGTGGTATAGAGGTGAAGAATGGTAAAAGGGGATTACAGGTGAGGAGGGGTGCAGAGGTGAGAAGCATCAGAAGAGGGGTGCAGTGGTGAGGTGTAGGGTGCAGATACAAGGAATGATAAAACAGGAGTGTAGAGAAGCAGTGGAAGAGGGTTGCAGAGGTAGCGAGTGGTGAAAGAGGGGTGCAGTGGTGAGGGGTACAGGGGTGAGAAGTACTAGAAGAGGGTTACAGAGATGAGGAGTAGTAGAAGAGGGTGGCAGTGGTGAGGGGTGAGGAATGGTAGAAGAGGGATACAGGGGTGAAGAGTGATAGAAAAGGGTTGTAGAGGTGAGGAGTGGTTGAAGAGGGTTGCAGTGGTGAGAGGTACAGGAGTGAGGAGTAGTAGAAGAGGGTTTCAGAGGTGAGGAGTGGCAGAAAAGGGTTACAGTGAGGAGTTGTAGAAGTAAGGGGTGGTGGAAGAGGGTTGCAGTGGTGAGGGGTACAAGAGTGAGGAGTGGTAGAAGAAGATTAAAGAGGTGAGGAGTGGTGGAAGGGGATTGCTGTGCTGAGGGGTACAGGGGTGAGGAGTGGTAGAAGAGGGTTGTAGAAGTGAGGAGTGGTGGAAGAGGGGTGCAGTGGTAAAGGGTACAAGGGTGAAGAATGGTAGAAGAGGGTTGTAGAGGTGAGGAGTGGTGGAAGAGGGTTGCAGAGTTGAGTAGTGGTACAAGAGGGTTGTAGGGGTGAGGAGTGGCAGAAGAGGGGTGCAGTGGCGAGGGGTACAGGGGTGAGAAGTGTTAGAAGAGGGTTGTAGAAGAGAAGAGTGGTGGAAGAGGGGTGCAGTGGTGAAGGGTACAGGGGTGAAGAGTGGTAGAAGAGGTGAGGAGTGGTGGAAGAGGGTTTCAGTGGTGAGGGGCACAAGGGTGAGGAGCGGTAGAAGAAGGTTGCAGAGGTGAGGAGTGGTGGAAAAGGGTTGTAGTGGTGAGGGGTACAGGGGT